TACAATGCACACAGTCGAATGCTTTTGCATAATCAATAAAACATAAGTAAATCTCTTTCTGGTATTCTTTGCTTCCAGCCAAGATCCATCTGACATCAGCAATGATATCCCTGGTTCAATGTTCTTTCCTGAATCCAGCTTGCATTTCTGGAAGTTCCCTGTCAAGATACTGTTGCAACTGTTTTTGAATTATCCTCAGCAAAATTTTATAATTTTGCAAGTGATATTAATGATAAACTCACTGCCATCAAGTGTATTCTGACTCATAGAGACCCCCAATGGATTTCCAAGGCTGTAAATCTTTATGAAAGTAGATTGCCTCATTTTCCTCCCATAGAGCAGCTGCTGGGTTTGAACGGCTGACCTTCTGGTTAGCAACCAAATGCCTTACTCACTACACCACCAGAGATCCTGTGACATTAATGACATTGTTCAATAATTTCCATATTCTGTCGGATAGCTTTTTTTTTTTTTTTGAATGGGCACAAATATCCATCTCTTCCAGTCATTTGGCCAGGTAGCTGTCTTCCAAAATTCTGGCATAAATGAGTGTCTCCAGAGCTGCATCCATTTGTTGAAATATCTCAATGGGTAATTGTCAATTCCTGGAGCCTTGTTTTTCACCAATTCCTTCAGAGCAGCTTCCACTTTGTCCTTCAATGCCATTGGTTCTTAATCATATGCTACCTCCTGAAAGAGTTGGACATTGAACAATTCGTTTTGATACAGTGACTCTGTATCCCTTCCATCTTCTTTTGATGTTTCCTGCATCATTCAATATTTTCTGCAAAAAAATCCTACAACATTGCAACTCAAGGCTTTAATTTTTATCTTACTTCACCTTGAGAAACGCTGAGCATGCTCTTCCCTTTGGTTTTCTAACTCCAGAACTTTGTATTTCATTGTGTTACTTTCTCTTCTCAAACTGCCCTTTGAAATCTTCTGTTTAGTTCTTTTATTTCATCACCTCTTCCATTCACTTTAACTACTCTCCATTCAAGAGCAAGTTTCAGAGACTTCTGATCCATTTTGTATTTGCTTCCTTTCCTGTCTTTTTAATGACCATTTGCTTGCTTCATGTATGATGTTCTTGATGTCATCCCACAACTCGTCTGGTGTTTGGTCACTGGTGTTCGATGTGTCAACTCTATTCTTAAATTGGTCACTAAATTCAGGTGGGATATAATCAAGGTCATATTTTGGTTATCTGGGCTTGTTTTAATTTTCTTCAGCTTCAATCTAAACTTGCATATGAGCAATTGATGGTCTGTTTCACAGTCAGTTTCTGGCCTTGTTTTGACTGATGATATTGAGCTTCTCCTTTGCCTCTTTCCACACATGTAGTCCATTTGATTCCTGTGTATTCCATCTGGGGAGTTGCACATGTATAATCACTGTTTATGTTGTTGAAAAAAGGTGTTTTTAATAAGTCTTGTCTTCCAAAATTTTATCATGTGATTTCTGGCATCATTTCTATCACCACAGCCTTATTTTCCAACTGCTGATCCTTCCTTATTTCTAACTTTCACATTCCAATCACCAGTAATTATTGATTGTGGGAGCTCTGGTGGCATAGTGCCTAGGGCATTTGACTGCTAACCAGAAGGCTGGAGGTTCAAATCCACCAACCACTCCTCAGAAGGAAGGTTAGGCCATCTACTTCCCTAGCGATACTGCCTTGGACACCCAAGGAGGGGTTGCTATGAGTTGCATCTGAATTGACAACAATGAGTTTGGTCAGAGGTTTTTTTTTTTTTTTTAGTAATTATCAATACATCCTGATTGCATGTTTGGTCAATTTCAGACCGCAGAAGTTGGTAAAAACCTTTAATTTTTTCATCTTTCGCTTTGGTGGTGGTGCATAAATTTGAATAGTAGTATTATTAACTGGTGTTCTTTGTAGGTGTATGGATATTATCCTATCACTGACAGCACTGTACTTCAGGATAGAACTTGAAATGTTCTTTTTGATTATGAATGTGGGACCATTCCTCTTAAATTTGTCATTCCTGGCACAGTAGAGCGTATATGATTCAAAACGGCCACTACCAGTCCATTAGCTCACTAATGCCTAGGGTATCAATCTTTATGAGTTCCATTTCATTTTTGACAACTTCCAATTTTCCTAGATCATATTTCAGACTTTCCATATTTTGAATATTAATGAATGTTTGCAGCTGTTTCTTCCCATTATGAGTTGTGCCCCATCAGCAAATGAAGATCCCAAAAGCTTTACTTCATCCACATCATTAAAGTCCACTCTACTTTGAGGAGGCAGCTCTTCCCTAGTTGTATCTTGAGTGCCCTCCAATCTTAGGGGCTCATCATCAGCACTATTATCAAAGTTTCACTGCTACTCATAAAGTTTTCCAGGAAAAGACAGTGTTCCACTGCTCTTCATAAAGTTTTCAGTGGACAATTTTTCCAGAAGTGCATGGTCCTGTCTTTCTTCCCCATCTGTCTTAGTTTGAAAGCTCCACTGAAACCTGTCCACCATGGGCGACCCTGCTGGTATTAGAAATACCGGTGGCACAACCTCCAGCCTCACAGCAACACTCAAGCCACCATAGTACAAAAAACTGATAGACGAGTGGTAGAAGGGGAGCTTCCTACTATACATTAAATAAAATGAAAACTTTATCATGACTTATAAGGTCTTTCATGTTTTCACCCTTATTTCTCTCCAAACTCATCTCCCATCACTAGATCCTTTGCTCCCTATGCTCCACTTTGTTTACTGGTCTCCTCTATGTTGCTGAAATTTGCCAAGCTCTTCCCTACCTCAGACTGTGTACTCTTGGTCTCTCTGCCCAAAATACTCTTTCCCTAGTTCTTCACCTGACTCACAGCTCACTCCTCATCTTTCAGGTCAGATTAAATGTCATCTCATCAGAAAGATCTTCCCCAACCACCCCATCTAAAAGCAGTCATGACTGCATATTTATCCACTCTGTCACACACTAGTATATCATTCAGTCCTTCTTTCTTAGCATTTAAATTATCTTTGTAAATAATAAATTATCATCATTATAGCTAATACTTAAAAATACACTTTCTCCAAGTACTACATATACATAACCACACTTAATTCTCACAGCCTTTTGAAGTATTATTTTTATTTACAAATGAATAAACTGAAAAAAGTTAGGATGACTTTTCCAAGCTAGTATATGGCAGAGCTGGGATTCAAATCCAAACATTCCAGCTCTAGCTCCTAAACTCTTAACTGCTACGCTATACTTCCTTTATATTCCTTTAATTACTTATCACTGGTAATATAAGAACCTTGACAACTGAAATTGTGTCTTTTTTATTCTTAGGAACAAATGCCTAATGCAGATAGTACTCAATGATTGAAATAATAAATAAATCACCCAACTATGAAGGAAGGTTGGGCAATCTACTTCCGTAGTGAAATTGCCTCAGCAACCCAAGGTGGGGTCACTATGAGTCGGGTCCAACTCGACAGCACATAACAACAACAACAGTAAGCCTACGTGATAAAAATATTAGGATTTTTCCACTTGTATCTTTAGCAAAGTAGCCAAAGTTGCTAAATAAATGGTCCTTTATTTGTCTAAATTGTTGATATATAATTGTTAACTATATTCCTTTTTCTGTTAAAATACATAAACACATTTAATCCTCATATTGCTGTCCCTGATTTTAATCACATATACAAAAGAATGGCAACATTAGTAAAGCAACATTAAAATGAAAGAATAGATTTGCCAATATTAGTAATTCTCTGAGGTCCAAAAAAATCTACAACATTCTATAGTTGTCTTGAGATTGGCTTGCTTTATAACCAGAAAATATAGTAGAATCCAGCCAGATGATAATCAGCACTGAGGGCCCATAACTGGACAATTTAGGAAATAACCATATTTCCCTTTAGTAATTAAGGATGGCAGAGCATTAAAATAGTTGGCAGCATGGGATACTGAGTAGAATACAGGCTTTAGAGTTAAACTAATCTAGATTCAAATCTCAACTTTATTACTTAATAGGAAGGGAGATCTCTTAAAAGTTTCCATTTTATTATTTAAAACTTACAAGTGATCATTTTTACCTTAGAGAAGTGGTGCGTAATTAAATGTGGTAAGTTAAATGCCTGGTGCGTAGTACCAACCATCAAACTATGTTTCAGTAATAATAATTTCCCACTTTTCAAAATAAATATCTTAGTTACCTTACGTTAAATTTTAGCTTATGTTTAGTTCAAAAACATTTAAGTGCAATATTAATATGACAAACTAGTATGTACTTAATAATAATTACATGCTAGATACTGTTCTAAGCATCTTGCCTGCTTTCGAGCATTTAATTCTCATAATTCTATATAATGTACACTAATTATTATCCCCATTTTACAGACAGGAAAACAGATAGGTTAAGTAATTCCCTAAAGACATCTACAGAAAAAATGATGAAGTCAAGATTTAACCTTAGGTGGTCTCATTTCAAATCCTGTACTCTTATCACTAAGCACTACTTTCTCTTTGTGGAGGAAAGATGAGTAAAGTATCTTCCTGTGCCCTCAAGGAGCATTAGTTCAGTTTTGCATGAATTTTATTCCATTAAGTCACTTCAAACAACCCAACTTCACATTTCTATTTCTTGCATATTGCTATAGTCAGTCAACCTAGCACTAATAGAGGTTTCTTCTTATTACAGTATCAAGTCCCATAACCTACCCTTCCTGAACAAGCACCCTATACTTTCAGCTATCACCAACAATTAAGCATGGTTTACATGAATAGAGCAGAATGAAAAAAGGTTATCAAAACTGCAAAAATAAAAAATACTGCGTAGGTAGGCAGACTAAGCAAAACAGAATAGTTTCACTGCTCTGCAGTGGCAGTAGCAGAGATACTTTCCTCCTTCACCCTTCTCCCCACTATGCCAGTTAAGAAGGCTGTAGTTGTACTTGCCAGTTTTAAGGAGGAAATTCAACTAAATTTTAACTTTACAACCCCATTCTGCAGAAACAGACTTACCTTTTACTTGTGTAAGGTCAATCCCTTTTTCTGATGCCAGTTTCTTTGCAAGAGGGCTAACAAATATCCTTCCCTTTGGTCCCACAGGAGTGGCTGGGCGGGCAGCTGAAGGTACAGGGGCTACAGGTTGAGGAGTGGGAGGAGCAGTGGCCACCTTTTGAAAAGTTACAAAACATTAATTCATCATTGCAAAGAGTGATGTGAAGAATTCAAAATTTACATTTAATAAGTCAAAAGCTGTTCTCATTAAATAATTCTCAACTTTTCTCCAAAGATCATAATGTAGTTTTGTTTTCTACTTAACCAATGTAATACAGCAATATGAAATAACAAAAATAATACTTTGTCAAAGATAGGAAAAAGTCAAGTTCTTCTATTCCATAACATAAAGAAGCATGGAATTTAATATTGCTGACCAGTGTACAGTATCTTTACAACCTTTCTTCACTTGCTGCACCTTTACTGTCATTCTCTTACATCACAAATTGTTTTTTGTTTTTTTAACTTAACCTAATTTCAAAATCCAAAATTATCCCACAACATTACAAGCTGAAAAAAATCTTAAGAAATAAATCAATACTGCTACTTGCTAGCTCCCAATGAAATGTATGATAGTCAGTAATCTCTGAAATGAATATCTAGTCTAAACTCACATGATTCTAGCATCTGCAGAAGCCTATGGTTAAGAGTTCATACAAGTTCATGTTATAGGTGAAATCACTCATAATGATATACTTAATTCTATGTCAAAGTTCCCATAAATTGAGGGGAGCTATTGCATTGGGGTAAAATGTAGTCAATGTCATGAGACGACGCGTGTGTGAACTGCTATATGGAAAGTGAATTTGCTCTATAAACTTTCACCCAAATCACAATTTAAAAAAAAAAAAAAGTTCCCATGAATTACAAATATATGCTTGACCTAGGATAATATGTAAACACTAAAAGTACCAGGAGCACTAAAAGCACCAGGAGCTCTGGTGGCGTGGTGCCTAAGGCACTTGACTGCTAACCAGAAGGCTGGAGGTTCAAACCCACCAGCCACTCCTCGGAAGGAAGGTTGGGCAATCTACTTCTGTAGTGATACCGCCTCAGAAACCCAAGGAGGAGTCACTACGAGTCAAGTCTGACTCGACGGCACTTAACAACAACAACAAAAAGCACTGTCAATAGCAGAGGTTATATAGTAAATTTTATAGAAAATGAGGAATGAGTCATGGATAACCACGAGATCTGCATCTAAAGCAGAAAGAGAACATGCTATGTCAATACCTGGAACTTCACTGTGCTTTGGTCTTAGTAGGATTCACGACAGCAGCAGGGGGAAAAGCTACAAAGATCAGAGAATTGACTATTAAGTGAATAGGACAGTGCCATATATTCTATAGGTCTCCATAAATGTTCACTATCTCCTTTCTCATTCACAGAATCACAGAACCTGAAGGAACATAGGAGATCATCTTTTCACCCCTTCCATTTAGAGATAAATAAGACTACATGTTCCCTCAATTCTAGAAGCATACCTACCGGGAGAGGGGTAGGTGGTGGTGCTTGGGGTTTTAAATCAGTTACTTCAGTTGGCCTGTAGTCAGCAAATGCTGGTATATCTGCTTCTTTTTCTACAATGATACAGAGTGGAGTTCCTAGGGGGACATCTCTTGTGCCTTCAGGAATCAGGATTTTTGCCAAGTAACCTTCTTCTTGTACTTCAAAACCTTAAATAGAAAGAAAAACATTTTGGTACTTAAATTAGGACTCCATGATCCCTCCAAACTCAAAAGTTTTAAATAAAAGGCTCTCCTTCTTCGAACTAGCTACATAACCTCTTTGCAAGTTACTGAACCTCTCTGTGTCTGTTTCTTTACCTATAAAATGGGGATGATAATAGTACCTACTTCACAGGGATGTTGTAAAGATTAAATGAATTAATATGTTTTGAATACTTACAACAGTATCTGGTACAAAGTAAATACTGAATAAGTATTTGTTAAATAAAACTATGAGAGATTACAGACAATGGTTAGTTCTGAAAGTTGTTCATAAAAGCCCAAGGGTGGCCCCCCACAGACCCACAGGACTAAAACTGCATCAGTTATAACTGCTAAAATCAAAACCTCATGAATGTCAAACTAAAGGTGCTACCAAAGTGGATACCTAAAAGCATTTCTGGAGTTTTTCAAAGACATTATACTTGATATTACTCCAAATATTTCATTGTAAAGAAATACAGCATTACTAGGGTTTCAATGGCACTAACAACTTATGTTTTATTCAGCTGCTTTTCTTACTATGAACTCAAACATGAAAGGTTGCAAAAATACAACTAAAGAAGCCATCAGAGGACAAGCTTTGTCTTCCCGATCTTGATTTTTTGTGCCACTGTACCTCTTCCTGATGAATATAATCCTTAATGAATCCTTCTATTTGCCAGTTAAGAATTAAAATACAATAAAAGATACTTTTTTTTTTTTAATGCTCCAGAACCACAACAGAGTTAAAATATAGTTCAGTGACACTGATATTCAAGTTACACTGGAAGATAAATCAATCATTTCCATGTTTTGTTTTGTTTTGAAGGAACAGAATCCCTTCTAAGAAAATCTCATGGGGAAACACAACATGCAAAAAGATAAAAAGGACTTGCTCTGGAGAAAGTAAGTAGGGGGTATGGGTGGGAGTGGGATACAGAACAAAACCCTACTCTTTAAGTCCTTCCTCACCCTAAGGCACCATCAAGGAATCATTGGGTGTGAAGAACACACAATTTGGAAACAGCCACCACACAGGATGCCCAGCAATCTCCCACTCCAACTCTAGGGAATGAACAGACTTTCCTTTAGTGGTGATTATGGGATACAGGGAAAACAGAATATCTATAAATATTATTAATATATGATAATGTGGATTGTGTTTGTGAGCACAAAAGAAATCAGAAATGGGGTACATGGATATGTGATGTGCTAGGCGAACAGGTATATACTATTTTTATATGAGGAGCCCTCTTGGCACAAGTGGTTAAGCACTTGACTGCCAACTGAAAGGTCAGCAATAGGAACCTACCAGCCACTCTATAGGAGACAGATGTGATAGATTACTTCTATAAAGATTTATCCTATGGCGCAATTCTACTCTGTCCTATAGGGTCACTATGAATTGGACTCGATTCAACGGCAATAGGTTTGGTTACATGTGTGTATGTATATCTATAAATATATATATGTGTGTGTGTGTATACATACACACACACACACACACACATATATAACATAAATATAATATTACAGATATTCTATCAGTAATTCTCAAATTATGGAAACAAATTAAATCCTGGTGTCAGTTTTCCTCAAAGTCATATTAGATTCTCTACTATTTTCTTGCCTTGGAGATTACCTTCTGTTTCTTTTTTCCTTCCTTCTTCCCATTTAGAGAATGGCACTCCTAATATGGCTTCTCAATAATGTAATAACTAGGCTAAGAAGCAAACTCTGCCTTAAGAATAATCTCTGAATTGACTTACTTGATTCATTAAGAATATGGTATGGAAATGATAAATCCAACTGTGAATTTTCTCGGTATAAAATATCATGTCCCAGGAAATGAATCCCAAGAATTATATAAAGTTTTCATGTTATCACTCACTCAATATAGGTTAGGATGCCAATCCTTTTCCCTCATTGGAAAACTTTGTGCCTCAACCATTCAGTAAGAGCTGAAGAAATCTCACCTATAGTAGCCTTGTCAGTCTCTATCTCTGCCAATAAGTCTCCTTCACTTAGCTTCTCACCCACTTTTTTTTCCCATCTCTGAACTGTGCCCATGGTCATGGTAGGAGAGAGGGCAGGAAGAAGTACCTATAGAAACAAATACATATTATTGCTTCAGTCTAAAAAACCTTGGACACACTGGCTCTCAGGCAAGCTTATATCATTTTGTGGAAGGACAGTGACCGTGACGATCCAAATCCCCATCTGCACAACGCTCCCATAACAGCAAATGCACCGTGCATTGATAGCTTCCCACCAATTAAATTATCCTTCAAATCACAACCTACTTTCCAAAGTCAAAAGCAATGGGGAGATGGGAAACATTTCTTCTAGACAGTCAATATTAATTCCTCAGTAAGTAAGCATAGAGCTTTTCACCTATTTTTAACACTTAAATTAAGCTGGAATTTTCAGTTAGCCCAGACCATTCTGTCAAAATTTTACTATGCTCTGTACCTGTTGTTGTTGTTATGTGCCGTCAAGTCGGCCTCGACTCATAGCAACCCCTCCTTGGGTTGCTGAGGCAGTATCACCATGGAAGTAGATTGCCCAGTCTTCCTTCCGAGGAGTGGCTGGTAGGTTTGAACTGCCAGCCTTCTGGTTAGCAGTCAAGTGCCTTAGGCACTACTGTCTTTTCATTCCAGAAAACATCATTTCTCCCAACTTCACAGATATCTTTCCAAGGTTTAAAAAAAAAAACCAACCTAACTAACATTCAGAACTGCTACTGCAATAGTCACTTCCACCCCAACAAAATCCAAACATTAGATGGACAAATCTAAATAAAAAATTGCTTTCCTATTTATATGCTTGTGTGTCCACTAAATTTGGATGCTTATTCAGTTATTGTGGGTTTCACTTGCTGTCTTCTTAGTCTTTTGTATCTAATGAGCAATAGGATCATACTGAGTGAAAAATCATTTTAATCATTGATGTGTCAGATGTGTCAGAAAGAAGAAGAAAAAAAGTAAAGCCTCAGAAATCTAATTTTTAAAACAATTTTCAACTGCTTTTCTGGTTCTTTATCTGCTTCTTAAATTTTGTGAAGCCAAAAATCTCCACAGAGAATCTTACAGGATAATTAAGGCACAATTCTAACACTTGCACACAAAGCCACTGAGACAAAATGGTGAGAAATGAACTAAGTCTCATGTATCACAGAATTTGCTAAACAGGATGAAATAAACATGTGAACTGAACATAAGACACAACTTCATCATAAGTGATTGTTAATAACAGATCATAGAGTAGATTACTATGTGCAAAGGAAAAAAAATCATTCTTATACAGAATTTTTTACAAATGAAATAAGCAAATATAAAGTTCTAGTCTTAATCCTTTAATAAAAGGGTGGCTTTTTTTTTCCATTTCCATATCTCTAAAACACACAAATATACATGGAGTAACTCAAATATCTAAGAAACTGATTTAGTTAATGCAATCCATTTACTGTCTTCACCTTTATTGCAATGCTATTATACAGTCATGAATGGCTTAATGTCCATGATATATTTTGTGAAATAGGACATTATGTGATTTGGACATTGCACTAACACCATATTATATACATGCAATCCCTGGATTACACAGAAGTTCTGTACCTAGGTTTGTCTTTCAATTGAATTTGTATGTAAGTTGGAATGGTTAAGTATTGGTTTGTATCTAATGCCAGTCAAACATCTGTTTTAGTATATAATATATAATGTACCTTTCTATGCATAAAAAACATTAAAGAAACACTTCCAGATACACTAAACCATCTTTAACACAATACAGTAATAATAATGTTTTGATGAGCATCACAAAGTAGCACCATTTGTTATTAAGAACCATTGTATGTAACTCAAATTTTTAATGTATAGGTTTTACAGGGGTTAGGACCACAGGCATACATGTGGTCAGATATATATGAGGTTGAATGTTGCCCTAATGGACGTTATGCAGCATGTAACACCACATATCAAAGGAAAACACCAACTGGGGACTTTCATGCAACAGACAGCACTTGAGACCATCTATCAACTCTATTTATACCAGAAGCAGAGATAAGTACAAATCCTCCTCAAAATTCATAACATAATGTTCTTGAATGAAAGTGTAAGCACTTTCTACACTACACTGCACTTCTGCACTACACAGAGGCTCAGAAAAGTTAAAGGCGCTGTCCAAGTTCACTCACCTGGAAATAACAACTAAGAATAAAAGTTATTTTCATGCTTAAATCTCTATTCTAAATGACAAGAGCTAACTACATTTAATACCGGTTTTCAGGATGTGACAGCCATCTATGAAAAATAATGAATAAATAATAAATTCTCTACAGCAAACATGCAGAGTCTGAGCCTCACCTGCATGTGAGTGGGATATGAGCTACCAGGAGCCTGAGCAGAAGGTGTAGGTGGTGGAGCAGCAGGCGTTGGCGTTGGGGCAGCTTGTGGAGCAGGAGCTGCCGAGGAATCCAAAGTATAATTTTTAAAGGCCTCAATATCCTCAGGCCTAAGGAAGAGAAAGAATGCATAAATACAAGGGAGTTAAAAGCAGTTTCAGCTCCCAGAAAACTAGTCTTTGGAAGCCTTTCTAACTTTTCAATCTTGAGTTAAAATACCCCACTTTGCACTAAAGTTCCACAGTATATCAGGGTACCACTCACTTTTCAACTGTAATGCAGATGATTGCTCCAACTGGAACATCTCTGGTACCTTCAGCAACAAGTATCTTTGCCATATAACACTCTTCCATGCTCTCAAACCCAACTGTGGCTTTATCAGTTTCAACCTCTGAACACAAAAAGTAATGTAAGTTTGTGCAGCCATTTTGAACTTTATTAGCTCATGTCTAGAACCACACACTTCAACAGTTAGACATGAAAGAAGGTACCATTGAAAGAAATCTTAGTTAAAATCAGTTTGCCTCACTGCTGACAACTTATCTAACCAATCATCTCTAAGACCAAGCAGTAAAAATAAATCTCAAAATAGTTTTTTAAGCAAAGTAGATACTAACCCACTACCATCAAAGTCAATTCCAACTCATAGTCAACCCACACAGGGTTTCTAAGGCTGTAAATCTTTACAGAAGTAGACTGCTTCTTCCTCCTACAACAAAGCAGCTGGTGGGTTTGAATCGCCAACTTTCTGGTTAGCAGCCAAACGCAATACCCACTGTGCCACCAGAACACCTTAAAGTGCGTACTACCCACCCAGAAAGTTAATGTTCAGTGTAGCTAGGTCAGTTCCTTCTACCTTAACTTCATATTTTAAAACAACTTACCTCTGCAATTAGTTCACCCTCATTGATTTTTTCCCCTTCCTTTTTTTCCCAACGGGCTATGGTGCCTGCCTGCATCGTGGGAGAAAGAGAAGGCAATGGAACCTAGGGGAAAAAAAAGAGAGAGAGAGAAACAGTTAACTTTAAAAAGGGTGACCTAACTTTCAGTCTGATGTTAAGCTTTAATTCAATTTTATTTCATGTAATGCAAAGTTTACTGGGTTCCATTACACGCGGGCCCTGGAGATAAAATGCCAGTTCCTTTCCATGGGTCTGACAGAGCATGTACCTCGGCAGGCGCTTCGCATATAACCCCAGGCTTGGAGCTCTTCTTACAATAAATTGAGGAGGAAAGGGAAGCTCAAGGGCAACGGCAAATGAAGGTTTGCAAGAAAGGCAATGACAGGTATTTTAAGAGGGGTGGAAGATCCTGAGGTCTCTGATGGAGGTTTCGAAGCCAAGTCTGACTTGAAGGACAACGGAGTCCCATGAAGGACAGGTCGGAGGCTCACCTTCTGATGAGGGGGAAGACTGTAACAGCGGCGGCCAGGCGACCCCAAAAGCTGCAGCAGGAAGCGGTTCCGTGGTGTGGGCCAAGAGCTGGGGCTCCAGCTGCAGACTGCACGGACCCCTCCATTCCCTTTGGTTGTGCTGTTGCAACGAGCCGGAGCCGGACCAGATCGCGGGGTCACATACAGAGTTCCAGGTCCCTCCTTTAAGGCCGCGCACCGAGCCCCGAATCCCGCCCTTGGGGCTGCAGCCTGGGCTCGTCGAGCACAGACGCGCCACATAACGCAACCGACATCCACAACCCAAACTCAACGCCTTCTCCGGAGTGACCTCTCCGCGAGCAGCACGACGCGGCCGTCAGCCACGCCGCGCAGCCGCACGTTGTCGTAAAACGGGCCCTGAAGCTTCCCCCAACCCCCTCCTCAGGCCAGAAATGTATACTGTGTCCGCGTATCTTTTCTGTAGAGTGGAGGTAAAGAATGGGTAGGGGCTGGTGGGGGCAGCTACTTTGGTGTGATAGGGACAGGAACGTTCCAGCCGAGCTCACGAAGGCAGAAGTTTGGGAGAAATAGGAGGTGTAAAGGACTCGAAGGCAGTGGAGTCGGAGGAGAGGGATTGGAAAGGGGAGGACGAGGCCTTGGAGATGAGAAGGGCACAGCCAAAAGGGAGGGGCCTAAAAAGACGGCTGTTGTTTGCCGTGGAGTCGGCCCGACTCATAGCGACCCCTCCTTGGGTTTCCGAGGCAGTATCACTACGGAAGTAGAATTGCCCAACCTTCCTTCCAAAAAGACGGCTAAGGCTGGCTTAATAAAGTGAGAAGGCGTGTGGTCTCAGAGACTGGGCTGGAGTTGTTGTTATGTGCCGTGGAATCGGACCCGACTCATAGCGACCCCTCCTTGGGTTTCCAGGGCAGTATCACTACGGAAGTAAATTGCCCAACTTTGCTTCCCAGCCAGTTTCGTAAAAGGACTGGGCACCGAGAGCCTCAGGCCAAAAGGCGGGGTCTCAGAGCGCTCTCTTTAGGGCGCTAAAAACCGCCCTAGGGAAGGAGGGATTGAGAATCGGAGCGTTCAGGCGCGGTTTCCTGAGCCTCTGCTGACTCAAGTGTGGCGGGGCTTGGATTTCGGCTGCCCGCCGGCTGTATTAGGTTACAAAAGATTTTAATTTCAATTTTGTAGCCTAACCAGAAACCTGAATTAACAGATTTCTCAGCCAAATGGCGCGAAGAACCGCCAAGCGGAAGATACATTCCCATATTGAAGTGTACTTTAGCTGGATTAAGCGTATGCAGGGTTATAAAACGGATTTCCTTTAACCCAAAATTTACCACAGAATCCCTTTAAGTAGCAAAAACTTACGTTTGAGATAGCTTCTCTGGGCTCTGGGAGACACTAGGTCAGGGCTGGCCATCTGTCTCTGGTAGCATAGTGGCTAAAGCACTTGACTGCTAACCAGAAGGCTGGCGGTTCAAACCCACCAGCCACTCCTCGGAAGGTGGGTTTGGCAATCTACTTCCGAAGTGATCCTGCCTGGGAAACCCAAGGAGGACTCACTATGAGTCTGGTCCGACTGGATGATAAATAACAACAACAAACACAACAGCAAACATTGCCGGGTCCTTCACCGTCATCTAAAGCATTCTGCTAACTAAAGGTGGAGCACCTGAACCCCCTCAGCCGCTTAAAGACAGATGGGACGGCTTCCATAAAGATGTACAGCCTTCAAAACCCTATGGGGTGGTGGTTCTCGTGTCTTCTAGGGTCGCTATGAGTTGAAATCAACTAGATAGATGGCAGTGGGTTTGGTTTGGTAGATTCGCCATCTTCATGATCAATTTCTTCATGATCGTTGGTATAATTAATAGTTAAAAACTGGAAATTGGAAGTCCAAGCACACAGGCTAAATATTCAGATATATAAAACATTGAAGTTGAAGAGATAAAACACTCATATTGGGGAAGGGGGGAGGCAGCTTTCACACTGAGTTGGGAATTCTGGTTCTTTTAAATACACATTTCTGAAAGTCTTTTATTAATGTTTCTTGCTTTTGTGTTAGAGACTGTTTTGTCATACAGTTTACACTCAGGTTAGAACTCAGGTTCTAATTTGCACATATATGTATAATTTGAAAAATACTAAATCAATGAATCCTCTTTGATAGTAATAATAACCTATTTTGTCCTTATAAAGAAATACCAATAGCAAATTATCAATTGGCAATAAAGTAATCCTTATCGTCACTCTCCAAGTGGAGAGTAAACATACTACCAGGAGATCACTTGAAAAGATTTACTTTCATTAACTCTAAATGGTTTATTGATTAATCTTCATCAGTAAACACAAGTGAAGATGATTAATGGTATTTAGTTTGCAAACTCCATTTTATTCAGGTTTTTTTTTTTTTAATTAGTACACAAATCTGGTACATACAGGCAGTTAAAACTGGTTATCACTTTGATAATCAGAAACCTTTGATATAACACAGTTTTTATGAAAACATGCCATAAAACAGGGAGAATACACAGAAATAATCTCTTTGAAAGCAATAGTTGCAAACATCCATGTTTCTAAGAAAATATAACTTTACATATATATATATGTATTTTAGGCAAGCTATACCTTTTACATAAATTCAAACATAGGAGGAGTGTGCAATCATAATGCTCATTTTATGGGGAAAAAAAATGAAAATAATAATGACCTAAGTGCTTTTTAGTAATTAGAGTCCTCCTGGATTGGATGTACTGCATGGACATAATTTCCTTAATTTACATCCCTCCTGGTCAAAAATAGCTGTAAAATTGTAAGTAGCATTGAATTTAACCAGATTCTTTAGGCACAAACTGTAACTTGTTCTAATCCCAGCTAATTCAGGGAACTGAACAAGAGAATAGTCATCAGTTTTAGCGACGACTTTTTAAGGAATTGAGTTCTGTACCAGTAAACTAGTTTATATGAGAGGGTCATTTATTTTTTAAATCTAAAGGGGTTTAGAGATTATTTTATAAATTCTCAACATTCTAGTTCCTTAGTTTTCTCAAGGAAAGAGAATGCCAGCAGCTGTTTGGATAGACTATTCCACTGAAATACCTTTAAGGGACAGGCAATATAATGCATAAGTCAAGAGGACTTCTGCTACAGTGCATCCAACTAGGAGACTATTCAACGCAGAATGAATTAATGAGTACTCCTCCTCAGAAGGCTTCGCTCCCTTTAGAAACTGGAATGAGGATTACCAACACATTTTACACAAAAGATCACATAGTAGGGATGCTTAGTCACTACTTCAGTTCATGCTAAACCAGGTAAAGGGGGAAAAAAATCTCCTTTTGTCCCCTGAACTCAACTTCAGCTTTCAAGTGGAGGCACTGAGGCCATGCAGCTCCTTTTCCAAAGGACGTAGAGATACATAAGACAAATAAGGTGAGGACCTCAGATTTTTCTCTGATTTAATTTTCTGTGAAAAGTTAAATTCCACATAATGGTAAGACTGTTTTTACTGAAAGACTGAAAAGTAAAAAATTTAGGAGACAGACATTCAAGATAAATTGTTGTAGAACTACAATAACAAATTTTGGCCTGATAATCCTCATACTATCTTATAGCGTTAACACTAAAATACATGCAATAAAGAAATTTATGACATGAGGACTTTTTCTCCAGACTTCCTGGGGGAAAATAAAAACAGAGTATACTGTTTCCTTTTGTTTGCTTTCACAATGAATTATTCTTGATTTTGATTTGCTTTCCCAGTTGTTTCTGGTGAGAAATTCTTCAATAGCAAGACTATCAGGTAAATTTACAATGAAAGAACAAGATGTCTTTTGAGCTCCTTCTGTCTGCTAAAGGAGCAATCACATGGATTATATAACATTGCCTCCACAATTAAAATTGGCAGGTAGAATTGGAACAGGAACTAGTTGTCATCAGTACACTCATCATAAAATAAAGCTTGTTCTGACATCACAAGGGGTAGTAAGAAAAGCCTGTATAAAAGCCACTGGGTTCTCTAGAAAATGGATACAGTGTACAGAATATGAGAGTATACAGAACTCACACTCAGTTATAAAAATAGACATGGTTCTCAGACAAAAAGCAAATGAGTACAAAAGAATTCTCCAAACATGAGCTATTTAAAAAGACACATCTATATAAAACAACAAGATGTCATCTCAGAGCTCAAAGAGTAGTCTGTTGAAATGGCTAAAAAGGGGATATGAACTGGAGACAGACAGGTCAAGAACCCAGAACTGATCTGTCCGACTCTTCTGTTTGGCAGTGTACATTGGTGGTCACAGGCAGACTGCTTTTGGGAATATAAATATAATGATGGCTAATTGGTTGATGATGTTTAGTCAGTGAATGAGAAAACCGAAATTACTAAGTAATTGTTAGAAGTTCCACTCTTAGTTTCTACACTTGACAGTGTTGCATATGAGAAAGTAGTCTGGGTTTTTTCACCCAGAATCAATCCTGCCATTCACAACTCCATGCCCCATGGTTGTAACTGTGCCCTAAAGGATCAGTCTATACTAAATATATAATAGAAAATAACTCCTGGCTTTGAAATGAGGGGCAGCCAGTAATTCATGCTCAATACTCACAAATCACAAAGAAATACTAAATCAGTTGTCTGTCTCATCTTGACTGCAAAAGAGATGCCATGAGTCTGATGGCTAAAGAAAGTCACAGGAGAAGGAAAGTCAAGAAGATATGGGTAGCAGCACCTTTCCATACCTGCCTGGATTTTTAAGGAGCTTCTCACTCCTTAGTCCTTTCAAACACAAAGTTCATCAGCTAGAAGGGAAAGAAATGGCTCTAAAGTTAAGAGTCCCCAGAGGAAACTAGCAGTACGTGAAATATGCCCTGTGTAGGCTAAAGGACAAATTGCAGAACCAGTTAAGACGTAAGAGTCAAGCTAAGGTCTAACTATGGTTTGGAAAATAGTATAGCACAACATAGGCAGCCCTTATTTCCATCAACAATTCAGCACCATCTATATCCAGTCCAAAAGATTAATGAAGGATGGGGCCTTCATCTTTGGTACCATCTCATGAGTTATTCTTGGTTTGCAATAGCTGCAGGGAAGCAGAAGAGCTGGTACCGTTATCTTGTCTGTGAGTATAAATGCTGGGACTCTGCTGCAAACATTGAGGCCAATTAAAATAACACTGTAACACACAGGAGTGACGCATCCAATTCCTAGAGTCCAAATAATAGCAGCCATGCCCCTAAATGGGCGGGATCATCCATCCATCCCCATTGGTTAAGGCCTTCGGTTTGTTGTCCTCAGAGTAAAACAAAACACTGTGTTCCCAAGGACAAGGAACTCCAGAAGAACCCACAGTCTACATTTGGACAGGGATTTTAAGTACCAGATATGCCAGGCACGGAAACAGGACTGGCCTGTGGCTATTACACTTGGAGAAGATTCTGTTTTGGCAGCACAAACTAGAAACTTCTTAGTGTATTCTGATTTTAGTCCCCTTTCCTGAGTGAAGTAGCCAGGGAGTGACCAGGTTCCACAAGCCTTCAATCTAACAATCGGCATTAATTCTCTCCATGGTCTTCTTCCACCCAGGCTACAATTTTGCCTTCCCATCCAGGAATGGCATCATCATCATGGAAAACCTAGAGAAAGAAAAAAGCTATAATGAAAAATATCAGAATAAGGTAGGAAGTCTCACTAGAGAACTGGTATTGATGAAAATAAGATCTTAAACATAAAGGATGAGAAAGTGCAGAAGAAAGCCTTCAGTTAAGATCTATGATCTTTCAGTTTTGTCTCTAAAGTTGCAAGTTGTATTAAATATATATATTTTCATGGTTTACACATATGTACACACAGACACATATTTAATTCTTAATCTCAAATCTATAAAATGGTAAAAATGATGTGAAGCACTGCACTGTTTATAGAGATTTATAAGAATAAATTACTAATCAGTGTACTTTAGGCTTAAGAGAAAGCAGTAGTAAAAGCATAAGAAAATAGGCAAGGGGGAAATTTTGGTCCAAGGCATTTGTAAAGAAAGGGCTAGAAAAAAGATCAATCTTAACATGCTTGTTAGATGCAGTCTTCATTCATTCAACCTTTTCCTAACCTACTAATAGAATAGGAATACTGAAACATTTCAGTGAGGAAATCTTTATAAAATACTGATTTTTTCCCAACTTCTTTCATTCTGTAATCGCATAATGACACTTGCACTACTTCATAATCCAGAACTCTCTCCTGGGAAAAAATAAAGTCTATATTGGGCAGATGGATGATACAGAGAAACATAGGCTAAGAAAATAGGAGTTGGGAATAAGTATAGCTGACTTTTCAGAAGTTCCCCGTTTTCACTATATGAAAAACTACTACCACTTAATATAGAGGTCTGTATATTTGTTGTTGTTGTTGTTATGTGCCATCGAGTCATCCCTGACTCATAGCGACCCCTCCTTGGGTTTCCAAGGCAGTATCACTACGGAAGTAGGATTGCCCAACCTTCCTTCTGAGGAGTGGCTGGTGGGATTTTACACCTGTTTGTTTATTTTGCTCTATGTAAGAAGCAGGATATTTTTTAGATTTGGCTTCAGATAGAAAAGGGACCCAAAAACCAAGCCTATATCTTAGGTTCTTTTTCTTTTCCTAAAAAAAAATAAAACATTTACCTTTTTAAAATAAACATTCAACCTAAATTCTTGGTTAAAGTTCAAAGTCCTTGAACTAAAGAAGCATCAATTTATTGGGTCATTCATCCTATGACTTTATCAGACTAGAGTAATCAGACAGTAATCTGAGACTTTGGGAAATTTCTCTGATCTGATTAGGGAACTAAGGTACTTCTGGGTATTAGTCCTTAAGCAGGAGACTGTGAGGTTCAGGAACAACCACTAATATACCACCCAGACTCCTCATGGGCTCTATACCTCCTCTTTAACAGTGCCAAACTCAGGATCCAGTGCTTTGAAGTGATATCGGTGATTCCCTTCCCGGTCAATGGCTGCTTTAAAATCTTTCAGTGTCACCTCCCCCAACCTACAACAAAAGGAAAGAGTACTAAAATAGACTGTTAAATCAATAGGTTAGAAAGATAAGATGTTAGCTTTAAACCTAGGGCCCTGCCAAAGTCACTACCAACAGAAACAGAATAGACTTATTAGGTCACTGCTCCTGGTAACCCAGAAGATACTAAAACAGAGAGGTTAGAGTACCTGTCATCACTATGGATTGAAAACAGCTATACACATGGGGGAATCTTAAAATTTAATATATATTTACTGTTCAGCAGAAGTCAAATAATTTTCTTTTTCCTCTGGATAGAAAGTGTAAGATCTCTGAAGTCAAATTTGCTAAACAACCAAAAATATGTCTAAGTTCTCTTGATTTCCTTCTTTGCTACACTATTCTATTTCTTTAGGCTGGTAGAACTTAATCAGGTATCACCATCTTTATTCTTCTATCTTAAGGAAGGCTGTCTTCTAACCTAGACCAAATAGGTAGACTCTCTAGGAAAGGGGAATCCTATAACCTCTATTAGTATTTGGTTCCAGAGTTTTAAATCTTTATTACATAATGATTTCCCTTAGCATGGTAAATGTTTTGTTATATATAAAATAAAAATTTATTTTAAAGAAATATTTCTATTTTTTTTTTAAAAAAAAGACCTTTAGGAGGAAGTAAGGAGCTCTGGTGGTATAATGATTAAGGCATTTGGCTGCTAACCACAAGGTTGGTGGTTTGAACCCACCATCTGGTCTGTGTACAAAGATGGGGCAATCTGCTTCTGTAAAGATTTACAGCCCTGGAAACCTAATGGGCATTGCTGTGAGGTGGAATCAATTTTATGGCAGTGAGTTTGGTTTGGTTTAGTTAGGAGGGAGTATATAAACCGAGTGGAGAGTTTTCAACATAAAATCTTAATAGGGTTTGCTTGCAATCATCAAAAGTAACAAAGATTATCAATGTCATGAGACAAAGAATATGTAAACTGCTGTATGGAAAGTGAATTTGCTCTGTAAATCTTCACCCAAATCACAATTTAAAAAAAAAAGTAACAAAGATTAAAGAGTAATAAATACCTCTGGAGTGCCAGGCTGCAATCCATGCTTATCAGCAAAAGCTATTTTGAAGCACTTAAGAAACTACTTTTCCAAACTTAGAGCATATTTGCATAGTTACCAGCATTGAAAATACTGTGGTTGTACCTGGTCAGTGGCAATGCTGGAACAAGAACCCTGTCTCCTGTACTCTTTTCACTATACCATACTGCTTCTCAGGTATCTCTCAGATGGGCAGGAAGTGATTCTGCCTTTCTTCCTTTTCTTATAGAGAAAATGATGAACCCATATTCTCACCTCTTTGGTATATTGACCATGAAGGGAGTAAGTGACCGGTCAGTGAAATAGAGCACTTTAGTGCAGGCGCTGCTGATGGTTGGAGAGCTCTGTGAGTGAGGCAACTCTGCAATCAGAGAGACTTTGTGGTTACAACACTGAATTTTCTCGAAACCACCCCTCATTTCCAGGTATTCAGGATGTCCCAGGAGAATGAAGCTGTGTGAAGTCACCAAATGGCTCTCATGCACTTGCCAAATACCATGTCCATTGGATGTGATCCACAGGAAGTCACTAGTGGGCCATGAGTATAAGAGGTGCTTCAGGCACAGACAGGATCATCAGGAGGATCATTTCTCATTCATTCTAAGTACTTCTGGCAGGGGATTACCAACTGACCTGACAGGTTTTGTTGCTAAAGATCAAACAGGAGAGAGAAGCCTGGCAAGATTTCAGCTAAGACAGAGTAGACATATAGCAAGAGCTGCAAGCTGCCAACATTTAGATTTTGGAGGTCAGTAGAGAAAGCTCAAGCCACTCAGGAAAAGAGAGAAATAAGAACAAGAACCAAGGAGCAAAGTAACCTTAGAAACTCATATCCCAAGGGGCTTTATGTTTCCAGTATAAAGGGTATAAGACTTACCTTATCCTTATATAGGATCTATATGGTCTTTTTTTTTATTTATTTGGGTGAAAATTTCCTTCCATACAGCAGTTCACATACACTTTGTCTCATAACATTGACCACAATTTACCAGTGCACAGCTCCCCTCCCACTTCCTCCCGACAGTTACCTCTTCACTGTGTACATCCCTCCATGTACTACTGCCCCGAGCTGTCTCCTATGCATAAACAACCCTTCTTTTTCCCATGATTGTTCTCTCCAAGGAGTGTATCTATCTCAGGTAAATGTTCAACTCCTATGCCTGTCTTTTTGTTTGTCTGGAAGCCACAGGTGTGGGTTAAACTCCAGACCTGAAGGGCAGCTAAGGGCCATAGTCTCAGTGGTTCCATTAGGCTCTATCAGACCAGAAAACCTGGTCCCCTTTTTTTTCTTAATCCCCCAAATGATTTTGAGTTTTGTTGCACATTGTTCTCCCTCTCCATCCAGGATCTCCTACTTAGATCCCCCTACAAGTGGTTGACAGTAGTAGCCAGGCACCATCTAGTTCTTCTGATCTCATATTTGTATAGGCTGCAGATTGCATGGTATACCAGTCACAAGGACTAATTGTTTCCATGAATCTTTGGTTTTCTTCATTTTTCTTTGCTCTGGACAAGGAGAGACCCATCATTGCATCTAGATGGCTGCTTGCAAGCTTTTAAGATCCCAGTCACTACTTGCCAAAGTAGGAGGTAGAACAATGTTTTGTGTAGTATGTTATGCCAATTGAGCTTGATATCTCCTGTGACTATTGTCCCGAGCCCACAGGTTCAACTACTCACTCCCTCTGGGTAGCTGGCTGTGGCCAAGAAGTGACAACAACCTTGTCCCTTGTCAGTTCTACTGTACACCTGGGAATTCTTACAGAACATACACATATACTTGTAGAACCATTGTCTGCCAAACCTGTGCATGGTCTTGGGTATACTCCCTGCTTCAAAGACATGCCTAATAGTTCAGTCTGTCCACCCATCTATCCACCTGTATACCCATGTTTGCCTTCACTGACAACGCAGTACTGTATGTGCAAAAGCATTCACCTTTGTTGTCTGTACCTACCATGTACCTCTCTGTCTTCCTCTTCCTCAATGCCACCATGTTGATCACTCATATTTGGTATATTCCCCTTCCCTTCACTCAAATCAATACTTATCTCTACCTATCAAACAGTGTTCCCTACCCTACACTCCAACCCTGGTAACCAACAAAGAAAATTGCCTTCCATATCTAAACCTGTCCTTGACTTTTACAATAATAGACTAATATAGTATTTGTCCTTTGTGATTGACTTTTTTCACTCAGCATAATGTCCTCCAAGTTCATCCATGCTATGCAGTGTTTTGCAGATTCTAGGTTATTCTTTAGGGTTGCATAGTATTCCATTGTATGTATGTACCAAAGTTTTGCAAGCCATTCCTCAGTTGATGGACACCTAGGTTGTTTCCATCTTTTGGCTATTGTAAATAGTGCTGCAGTGAACATGGGTGTGCATATGTCTGTTCTTGTCATGGCTCTCACTTCTTTAAGATATATACTTAGTAATGGAATGGCTGGGTCAAATGATATTTCTAATTCTAATTTTTTAAGAAATCGCCATACTGCTTTCCACAGTGCTTGTACCATTTTACAGTCCGACCAGCAGTGTATAAGAGTCCCAAACTCTCCACATCCTTGCCAGCATTTGTTATTTTCTGTCTTGTTGAACTTTGCTACTAGTGCTGAAGCAAGATGGTATCTCATTGTTGCTTTGATTGGCATCTCTCTAATGGCTAATGATTGTGAGCATTTCTTCATATGTTTGTTGGCCGCCTGAATATCCTCCTTGGTGAAGTGTCTATTCATGTCTTCTGTTCATTTTTTAATTGGATTATTTGCCTTTTTGTTATTGAGGTGTTGGAGTTTTCTATAAATTCTAGAGATAAGT